GGGCTATACCGAAGGGGCTATATACCGAGGAGGACTATACGTTACGTGTCTATCTATCCTAACCTAACCTAACCTAACCTAACCTAACCTGAAAAATCGGTTTCGAGTCCATCAATGTCAAAGTTTAAATATTAAGAGACACGAAATAAACAAAACAAGTTAGGAAGAGTGAGCTGGCGGGAGGAGACTCCAGGATACCAGTAGAACAACCACGGTGCTCTAAACCCTGTCAGTGGAGCCCAAATGTAAGTGCTTTGTCGATGAGACACTCAACATACCTAGGCATTTATTCCATGATTGGAACCTAAAAACCCACAGTCTTGGGCTCATAGATGATAATGTAACACTTCTAAAAAAATTGCAACTCGAACACAGAAAACAGGAAAAAAAGAAAACGATATAAAACAGAAAATTTCACACGGTAACTTAGCTAAAAGTCACACATATATACCATAACCTATATTACACGTTATATAAAAGATATACGTTGGGATTATATTGAAGTTTTTTAGGAGTTATACAGCAAATATACAATAACAGTGGTAGTTTGGGTGAAGGGTGAGTGGGTTGGTTTGTTTTAGAGAGTGGGTTGGTTTATTTAACGGGAGGCTGGCGATGGTGGTGCTGGTGGTAGTAAGGTCAGAGAGACAGAGGCCCTTAATGCTGTGCTGCCCTTGTGAACACCCGCGCCACACACACACACACACACACACACACACACACACACAGTTGTAAACAAGTTTAAAAGGGATATTCACGCCCTTAAGCCTCCGGCCTCTCGTTTATCCTCCTCAGTGTCGACGAATGAGGAAGAGGCGACGAAGAGAAGACGATGAGGAAGATGTGAGCAAAGAGACGGAGGCTGGTGGGAGGAGCCTAAGGAGGAGGAGAGGAGAAGGAACCTGATTAAAAGAAAGAAGAGAAGCAGAAGGAGGCGGAAGGAGGGAGATTGAGAAGAATAGGGGAGGAGGAGGAGGAGGAGGAGGAGGAGGAAGAGAGAAAAAAGAAAGACTAAAAATACAAGAAGAGAGAGACAGGAGTGGGGAGTACCTGGGAGAGAGAGAGAGAGAGAGAGAGAGAGAGGACACTACCTACAGCAGCTGTCGTCGTCAGAGCACCTGAAGGCGTCGCCAACATCCACTGGAAGAGCAGGAAGCTAGGGAAGAGAGTGGTGGGAGGGAGACTGAGACTGACAGGTTGTATGGACTGACAGGTGTGCGGATTGACAGGTGTACAGACTGACAGGTGTACGGATTGACAGGTGTACGGATTGACAGGTGTGTAGTGACCGGTGTACGAACTGACAGGTGTACGGACTGACAGGTGTACGGATTGACAGGTGTGTAAGACTGACAGGTGTACAGGTTGACAGGTGTACAAACTGACAGGTGTGCACGGATTGATAGATGTACAGCTGACAGGTGTACAGCGACAGGTGTCGGGCTGACAAGGTACAGACTGACAGGTGTACAGCTGACAGGTGTACAGGCTGACAAGTGTACAGACTGACAGGTGTACATATGTGCGAATAAATTTATCAATAAGAGAAGAGAAACAGGATAGAATAAGGAGGAGGGGGAAGAGGAGAGAACAGAGAAAATATAATATAATGGATAAATCAAATGGAAGATAAGGAATGAGTAATGCTACACACACACACACACACACACACACACACACACAATAAAAACAACCTTGAACTTCAAGCGGTAAATAATCATTCGTCACCTTTAGCTCTTGCCGACCAATCACAGTGCATCTGGTATATAACTCCACGCCACTGAGAAGCACCCTTCTTTAGGTGAGTCATTAATCATTGGCCATCTCTAGCAGACCAATCAACTAGGCCCTAGCATCCAAAGGCGCCATCCCAATCCACCAATGGGAGGGCTCAAACAGGTGAGAGGAGACGTGGTGGTTGGTGGAACCGCCGCCAGAGGCCGAGAGGAGGGCTGGTTAAGGGGTTTTAATTGAAATGGCTGACCACGCCGCCCACTGTCATCGATCTCCGGGTATCATTGCTGTTGCGTCCGTTGCTGTTCTATCCTGCTGTCACGGATGGGTTCTGTTATTAATGATGATGATGCTGTTATTAATGGTAGTTGTACTTTTCAACACAGGGGTTACGGGATACTGCTGTCATCGCAACGTAATTAATGAGGTCAAGGCAGCGAGAAAGGCTGACATTGTTGTGATGATAATAAGCTATTGGTAAGTTTATCTCTGCTATTGGCGGTAGGGGAGTGCGGCTCTGCAGGTCATATGAATAAGGGATTAGAGAGAGAGAGAGAGGAATAGAACAAATAAAAAACAAAATAAGAACTAAAACACAATGAAAAACAAGAACAACAAAAATATAATAGATGAACATAGGAAAATGGATAAACAGGTGGAAGAAACAAAGACAAACAAACACAATTTAACGAATGAGTGGAAACAAAGAATCGTAGAGAAAAACAAAGGAAACAAGACAGACATCAGTACCTAAAATGGTGGATAATGTTGGAGGATTGTGGATAATGTTGGAGGATTGTGGATAATGTTGGAGGATTGTGGATAATGTTGGAGGATTGTGATAATGTTGAGGATTGTGGATTGTTGGAGGATTGTGGATAATGTTGGAGGAATGTGGATAATGTTGGAGGATTGTGGATAATGTTGGAGGATTTGAGGGATAATGTTGGAGGATTGTGATAATGGTGGAGGTTGTGGATAATGTTGGAGGATTGAGGATAATGTTGGGATTGTGATAATGTTGGAGGATTGTGGATAATGTTGGAGGATTGTGGATAATGTTGAGGAATGTGGATAATGGTGGAGGATTGTGGATAATGGTGGAGGATTGTGGATAATGTTGGAGGATTGTGGATAATGTTGAGGAATGATGTGGTGGAGAATTGTGGATAATGTTGGAGATTGTGGATAATGTTGGAGGAATGTGGATAATGTTGGAGGATTTTGGATTGTTGGGATTGTGATAATGTTGGAGGTTGTGGATAATGTTGGGATTGTGGATAAGTTGGAGGATTGTGGATAATGTTGAGGATTGTGATAATGGTGGAGGATTGTGGATAATGTTGAGGACTGTGGATAATGTTGGAGGATTGTGGATAATGGTGGAGGTTGAGGATAATGTTGGAGGATTGTGATAATGTTGGAGGATTGTGGATAATGTTGAGGATTGTGGATAATGTTGAGGAAGTGCATATAAGGTAAGTAAGTAAGTAAGTAAGTAAATATTAGTAAAGTTAAGTAAAAGTAAGGTAAGTAAGCTAGGGAAGTCTATATATAAAACAAAGAAGTCTGCTGTGTTAAAGGAATATCCTTCCTTCCTTAGAGCTTTAGTAAGCCTTTATAATACTTATATGTATATATTGTCACACTTGTCAGATGCTTCTGGTGTCACTGTACAGGGTGCCTGGTGACAACACAAGGAGTTTCTCTATCAAGGATTAAACAATTGAGTGAAAGAAGTCTGTTTGTGTGTCACTTTAATCTCGAAATACTTTACCGATCTGTAGTGATGATGGATGGTGTTTATGATGATGGATGGTGTTATATGTAGTGATGATGGGTGGTGTTATATGTGTAGTGATGATGGGTGGTGTTATATGTAGTGATGATGGGTGGTGTTATATATAGTGATGATGGGTGGTGTTATATGTAGTGATGATGGGTGGTGTTATATGTAGTGATGATGGGTGGTGTTATGTAGTGATGATGGGTGGTGTTATATGGTGATGATGGGTGGTGTTATATGTAGTGATGATGGGTGGTATATGTAGTGATGATGGATGGTGTTATATGTAGTGATGATGGGTGGTGTTATATGTAGTGATGATGGGTGATGTTATATGTAGTGATGTGGGTGGTGTTATATGTAGTGATGATGGGTGGTGTTATATGTAGTGATGGTTAGACAATAAAATAATAACAGTTTAATGCTAAAAATATACTTTGCTGTACCGTTGTAGTGAAAAACATGGTGGAACTTACATACACCGTTAATGAACTATTGATGGAAGAAGAAGTTTTGGGACTGAACAGTGAGACAATGTGGAGCCTCCGGAGGTGGCGTCTTAAGTTTTTCAGGTACATGTAGGACTTACCCGTGGTGGTTTTGGTTGTTGTAGTGATGTTGTAGTGGTGGTTATAAAGTGTGGTAGTGATGTTCCTGTGGTGGTTATATACAGTAAGTGTGGTAGTGATGTTGTAATTGTGGTTATAAAGTGTAGTAGTGATGTTGCTGTGGTGGTTAAATAATTATAGCACTGATGTTGTAGTGGTGGTTGTAATGTATAGTTATGGTAGTGATGTTGTCGTGGTGGTTGTATAGTTATGCTGGTGAGAATAATTACTATGGTCCCTCTTAAAACAGTGGGGAGACATAAGAGAACTGGGTTACAACGGTCTCACTGCGTACAGAGAGAGAGAGGTTGGAGAATAAACACTTCAACCTAATCAAACCAAACATAGCCTAACCTAACTAACATATGCTAAACTAACCAAACCAAGCAACAAATGTTCGCAAATCAACGCTATACTAACTAAACCTAACACTATACTAACTAAACCTAACGCTAACCTAACCAAACCTAACATATCCTAAACTGCTTTAACAAAACTGCAACGCTATCTTAACGAATAACGCTAACCTAACCATAAAAAAGGCATTGTTAAATTTATAAAGGATTAGCGCTAAAATTCACCAATATATACATTTCTGTT